TGTCCCAGAGGTTTTGTTGTGTTGTATTGTCCTTTTCATTTAGTTCCAGGAATACTTTTATTTCTTTCTTAATTTCTCTTTTGACCCATTCATCATTTAGGAGTGTGTTGTTTAATCTCCATGTGTTCATGTAGTGATTAGGGCTTCTTCTGGTGTTGATTGTAAGCTTTATTACATTGTGGTCTGATAGAATGCATGGAATTATTTCAGTCTTTTTGTATTTGTTGAGGTTTGTTTTGTGCCCCAGTATATGGTCAGTTATGGAGACAGTTCCATGGCGTGCTGAGTAGAAAGTATGTCCTTTGGTGCTTGGGTGGAATACTCGATAAATGTCTGTTAAGTCCATTTGATGTATGATATTGTTTAATTCAGATTGTCTCTCTGTTAACTCTCTGTCCTTTTGTCCTATCTAATGGAGACAGTGGGGTATTGAAGTCCCCTACTATTAATCCGGTGGCCAGTGGACTGCATACACAGAGGGAGAGTCCGGCAGCTTGGAACAGAACCCGCCCGGCAGCTGACAGCGACCCGCAGAGTCGCCAGGGCCCGGTAGCCGCAGAGAGCCAGGGACCCGCACAGCAACGTGGTGCACGAAACCCGCGCACCCCAGCCAAGAGCTGGCATAGCAGCGCGCAACCCGCCACATCGCAGCAATTCTTAGTGCCATTTGCTTGGTATATTTTTTTCTATCCTTTCACTTTAAGAGTATCTGTCCTTGAAAGTGAGATGGGTTTCTTGCAAACAACAAAAAGATGGGTTTTATTTCTTTACCCATTCACCTAGTCTTTGTCTTTTGACTGGGGAGTTCAGTCCATTAATATTTAAAGTTATTAATGACAGATGAGTATTGAGCCCTATCATTTTTATTTCTATTTACATTCATGATGTAGCTGTACTTTTTCACAGTCATACCTTTATTGAATTTCTTTCTACAACCCCTTGGGTATAGTCATTCCTTTCTGAAGCTCTTTGTATTGCTTCCAGAACTCTCTGAAGGGCTGGTTTGTGGACATGAATTCCTTCAGCCCATTTATGTCATGAAAGATTGTTCTTTCCCCTTCACCTATGATAGATATTTTGGCTGGGTATAGTAGTCTGTGTTGGCATCTGTGTTCATTTTAAACTGGGAATACTTTGGTCCAGGCTCTTCTGACTTTCATAGTTTGCACTGAAAAGTCACCTGTAATCCTAATGGGTTTCCCTTTATTTGTGACTTGTTCTTTCTCTTTTTCAGCTTTCAGTATTGTCTCTTTTTTTTTTTTTTTTTTGTACGTTTAAGTGT